ATGCGTCCAGGTTTATTCATATTCTTCTTATTAAGGATCCACAAAGTACTATCTGGTGAATCGAATAATGATGTATTCAGCTGGGATTCCGCCGCAGTACAGAGGTACGTACTCCCCGTTTGCTCGAACCAAACGAACCAAGTGAAGGGAAAAAGACGAGGTTTGTGGATCTGACAAGTTCTGTTCTGGAACGTCTCCCCGCATTTGGGTCGCCTTGAAGTTCCCAGAGCCGCTGGAATGCGTCATTGGACTTTACAATGACTGACCGGTGCCAACTGATAGAGGGTTTAGACTTTAAAGTGATTGCTGTGTTGGCTGGAAACCTTTTATAAGGTTTAAGGATAGATAGTTTGGATAGGATGATCGGGGAGGGAGGGTCAGCCTTCGCTTAAGACTCGGTTTCAGAAGAAGAACCAAGACAAGCTATGGTCCCTTTCTCAGAATATTTCCAATCATTAACTATAAAATAAGTATGTACTACCTGCCTAGTACCTGCCAGTTTGGCAACATTCGGATTCCTTAAAACATCATGCATCTATTGCGTTCGTCGTCTTCGTTATAGTCAAGTTCTACTGTCTACCTACGACATACTGCTTGAATCGTTCATCGTCTGCACAACTGCACGAGTTCTTGGACTACACGTACTTCTGAACTGTATAACCTTTAAATTGCTTCCAACTTGCTTTTTTCGTGTCACTTCCTTTTGAGAACAAATCTTCTACATAATTTGCTTCAGACCTCTCAGTGCAGTATCAGGGCGTTCATCAAAACATTCCTTATTTCAGAGTGCGAAGCTACATAATTTGCTTCAGACCTCTCAGTGCAGTATCAGGGCGTTCATCAAAACATTCCTTATTTCAGAGTGCGAAGGACAAAGCGATCGATAAGTGAGGGACACCACCAGAAGACTCACATTCGTCGCAAGAGGGCTGCAGGTATAGCATCAGTAGTTGCCGCTGCTGCAGGGTGTTCGATCTCGTGGTTGAGCAGGGATCAGCTCAACTGCGACCAGCACCTTATAGCCGCTCGCTCAAATTTCTACAGGATATATAAGGAGTTTGGGGATAACAGTATGTTAGTGTTGTTTGACAGCCGTACTACGAGGATTCGCAACTGTTCCTGTACGCTCACTCGAGAAATAGAAGCCTAGTTTCATCTTTCGTTCCGGCGGAAGATGAGGGCAGGCTTCCATTGTTCCATATATGAGTGTACCAGTGCTCCCATATATTGGTGGGATAAGAATTTTGGGACTGTTACCAACATTCCCAACCGTCATTCTTTAATATAATAGGTACAATAGCGGGTAGGCGACTTGACTGGTGCACTGGGCCACCACTAGGTCCATTACAAGCTGTCGCTGGCAACCAGAGGATAATGGCCTCGTTTGCATAGATTATTATAGGTTTCGAGTTGCTTCTTTTTCATGACCTTTTTACACTTTGTTAGTAGGCTCTATTGAAAAAGACGCGGTATTAAAGTTGTTGTGCACCTATGATAATGAATGATACGGTGTTTTCCAAGAATATGCTTATATCAACGGTTTTTTCAGCTGGCTCTTCCGGCGCTGCACAGTAAGTTGAAATCTTCGGAACCATCAGTATTCATCAGTTATAATTGAATACTTTCTCTTTGGAATCAAAAATGGAAGCCCTTACTCAGCGGATTCCGCTTCGATGATCCAATTTTGACTACTGAGAAATGAAGTATATTTAGCGAGGTTGTAAAGGGAAACGTTCGGCGCATGGGAGAGTAAAACTTGGTTTCCAACTTAGATGACTTCTGGTGTTTTATACAAGGTGGACTTGAGATTGTCTGCAAGGCTCAGAGTAAAGATTCGAGATGTGCAATACTGTGGAAGTTTATAACCAGAAGCTTCATCTGGTTATTCGTCCTAAGGAAGGAAACATTTAGTGCAGTGATGATGCTTCTGGGAATTCGAACTAACTCGGAAGTAGATCGGATTGCTCGGAAAGCGGTGCGGAAGGGATCGTTTTCTATAGGAAGTCGCATTCCGCCTTTTTGGGCAGAATATCAGATAACATAATCGCCCTCCAGATTCCGCCTTTTTGGGCAGAATATCAGATAACATAATCGCCCTCCAGATTGGCAGATGGAGTTGGGCTTCATTTTTTCAAATGTATATTGAAAGCCGAAGAACAGATATAGCGGAACCCTACAGAAGATCAGCCCCTATACATTGATTCGAAGGAATAAAATTTCAAATTTATTCGTCACTTATAGGTAGCGATTATATAGGGAGAGCTATCATGCTCTAAGACAAACCCAATTCTTCCAGAGTTCAACAAAAAACTCGATCAATCATTTCAGCGCGTTCAAACCATTTTTCATCCCTCTACTTATAGTCATAATCCTTTTGGCATTGCTTATAATATTTGGTCTTTTATGTATCATCTACTTATTGAAGTTGGAAGAAAAGGTGATTTTTTATTACTTCCTTTTTACATTAGCCTAGCTTTATGGGTTGTGACTGGGCGTTTAAATGTTCTCTGGCCCAACACAGCTCAGCACAACACACTTTTTCATATATTTTAATTTCACCACCGAGAAAAATATGGTATTGGTAGTGGGTAAAAGAGTCAAGTCTTGGGGCGTTAATCAATCTCGTGGTGCGCCACAATTGCGCCCCTCCTTCCGATGTACAAGTCAGTGGTCTTATCTTCCCAAACGGGTCTGGTATCAACTAACCGACCCCGGAAGGATGGCAGACCTAGTTGGCCTAGGCTGGTGTTGATACGAGACTCGAACCCGTGGTCATGCTTGTGTGATAGTGCGCCATTTGCCACTACACCACCTCCGCTCTTCTAGCAAAATACACCAAGAAACCCTCCGCAAGCTTTGAAAGGTAACCGTATACCCTTTTGCGATGCGGGCGACTATGTACATCAAGGGCTCCCGCTAAAGTGTATGACGGTACTCTGTATTCGAACTCCCACGGTCACCAGCCTG